TCGCCTAGGCTGGAATGCTGTGGCGTGATCATGGTTCACTGCAGCCTTGACCTCCCAGGCTCAAGCCATCCTCCTGCCTCAGCCTCCCAAGTAGCTGGGACTGTAGGTGTGCGCTACCATGCCTGGCTAATTTTTGTATTTCTTGTAGGTGTTTTGCCATGTTGCCCAGGCTGATCTCAGGCTCACGAGTCAGCCTTCTGTTAGATACATTTGCAGTTTACTTCCTCAACAGAATTATATTCTGACATATTTTGTCTTGAAAGCCTTAGTCATTTTGACATTCTTATTTGCAAGAATATTGTGTATGTAAGTTGAAATATGGAAAATGGTTTTCTGAGATTTGGCTCTTAAGTGTTTTTAGAGTCTTCTGGGTTAAGTTACTATTACAATTATTAATACACAATTGAACAAAATAACATGTATTGCAAATGTTTTATGTTTACATATTTTTTAAATGCATTTCTTTGACACTTTTTTTTTTTCAAATAGTTTCATATCCACGGGTGACAATTACTTATCGCTAGAGTGAAACGGGATTCAGCATCAATTCCTAATTTTTATTTTTAGAGGAAGTACTAACAGACCTTGTTTACATTAGTAAATAAGTTGATGGAAATGGAAGTTTTGTCATAGCAATGTCGCTTAGTTCTTGGAACTCCTTTTGAGTTACATGCCAGAAATCATGTAATCTATCATCAAAAATTATGGGTTTTTTTGTTTGTTTTAAGGTGGAGTCTCGCTCCGTCACCCAGGCTGGAGTGCAGAGGCATGATCTTGGCTGACTGCAACCTCTGCCTCCCAGGTTCAAGCTGTTCTCCTGCCTCAGCCTCCCCAGTAGCTGGGGATTACAGGCGTGGGCCACCACGCCCAGCTAATTTTATTTTTTATTTTTAGTATGGATGGGGTTTCACCATGTTGGCCATGCTGGTCTCAAACTCCTGATCTCAAGTGATCCACCCACCTCAGCCTCCCGAAGTGCTGGAATTACAGGCGTGAGCCACTGCATCCGGCCCAAAAATTATGTTTAATGATCCCTTAGCTAAAACTCAGGCCATTTTTCAAGGTTTTTTTTGTTTGTTTGTTTGTTTTTTAGCAAATAATTTAAAACCTTTTGACATGCAGAAGAATTTATTCATTTTTTTCAGACATTTGCATTCTGAAGACTGACACTAGTATTTCTTTTTCTTTTTCTTTTCTTTTTTCTTTTTTTTTGAGACGGAGTCTTGCTCTGTCGCCCAGGCTAGAATGCAGTGATATGATCTTGACTCTCTGTAACCTCTGCCTCTTGGGTTCAAGTGATTCTCCTGCCTCAGCTTCTCGAGTAGCTGGGATTACAAGCATGCACCACCATGCTCAGCTAATTTTTGTGTTTTTAGTAGAGATGGGGTTTTTGCCGTTTTGGCCAGGCTGGTCTCAAACTCCTGACCTCAGGTGATCTGCCTGCCTCAGCCTCCCAAAATGCTGGGATTACAGGTGTGAGCCACCATGCCCGGCAAGACACTGGTATTTCTAATCGTTTCTTTTTCATTATCTTGGAGCTTTTTACACTGTAGTTTCAAAATGGATGAAAATATGCCTTTTTTTTATAAAGTGGGACAAGGGCAGTTGTGAAAGGGGGGAGATGGGGAAAAAACCTTGATGGCCAGAGGTACATTCTTATGAAGATCAATTTTTGGAAAAAACTATATGTGGAACTGAGTATCTGGAATTTGATTCTCTCTTGACTGACCTTTCTCAATGTACTCCTTGACAGTGTTCCTGTTTCCCCAGGGGCATGCTTGTCCCAACTGAAGGCCACTGGTATAATGGACTCTTTGTAGTAATTGGGCTACACCTTTCTAAAACAAGTGGTCTAGTTTAATTAGCTACCTTAGGGTGAAATGAAATGTAGGGAACGAGTCTAAATCTTTCTTGATGGTAGTTCTCTCCTCTTATTTCTGCATTTATTAAGGTATAAGGACTCCTTGCTCTCATGTGACTTAAAATCAGCAGCTAGAAATATTCTTGTTGCAAGATAAGTAATTAAGCCTCAGGAAAATACCTTGCTTTCTAAAGTCTCTCTGGCCTAAAATACCCTCGCAGCTGCCGTTGGGTTCCAAACAAATGGATGAGGAAAAAGGGTTAGGCCAGATTAGCATGAGGCAGTTTTTGGGAAAAGACAAACCCTTCTTTTGTATGTATGTCTGTGTGCCCAGGTGACATGTACAGCCATGATGGGAATACTGATGAGCCAGAATGGGTAAAGACAGAGCGAGAGCAGTTTGTTGAGTTTCGGGATAAGAACCGTGATGGAAAGATGGACAAGGAAGAGACCAAAGACTGGATCCTTCCCTCAGACTATGATCATGCAGAGGCAGAAGCCAGGCACCTGGTCTATGAATCAGACCAAAACAAGGTAAGTCTGGCCAGGCCCACACAATCTACCCTTGATTGAAGTATGCTTCTGGGGGATCACCTAAACAGTTTATGTTAAGGTGCAAAGAGCATTTAGGGTCTTAATTAGTCTTAAGTCAGCCAACTATCTGAATCTGGTGATTAAAACCTTTCAGGGCAGCACTAGCTATCTGATCTCATTTTAGAAATCCCTTTGCCCAGTGCTGATAGCATTGTAGGAAATCTGGCTTCAGAAAAGAGCCTTTGTGTGTAGCCTGTGCCCAGCATGCATCATCACGTATTTTCAGATCCCCAGGAATTTTTTTTTTTTTTTTGCTTTGTTACTTCATTTGTTCCTTTACCTGTCACAGGCCCATTCTTTCTACTTAAAGCTGGTTGTTTCCTTCTTAAATCAAATATGTTTTTTTTTTTAATTGGGTCCTTTGTGTAGGCTATAAATCAGCTTTTCTTTGGAGCCTGTTCAAATTGTCCTTGATCAATTAGTTATCTGAGGTATTTTGTTCAAAGTAGTGTCCCTAAGCCCAGTCACCTGTGTCGGAGATTTGAATGCCCTGCTTGGAGTAAGCTGAAAAATCAGTCAAAATGGAGATTTTTAGTGTTCTGAGTATACTTTTATCTAGGCTAGTCTTCAGTTTCAAATTCAGTTTTTTATCTTAGAGCCTTTTTAAGTGTTGATCTGCTTTAAGTTCTTGCTCAAAGTCACTTTAGTAGCCAGGTGTTGTGTCCTGAGATGTATGAGAAAAGGAAATGCATGTAGTCATCCCCGTCTAGGAGATGTTCCATATTTTTCTCTAAAGGGAGAGTTTTCTCCTCATGAAGGCTTTATTTCTAGCATTGAGTTATTGTGTTATATTCTTTCCACCCTTTCACTTTTAACTTTCTTGATAAAAGAAATGTTTAATGGGCCTGGCACGATGGCTCACGCCTGTAATCCCAGCACTTTGGGAGGCTGAGGCAGGCAGATCACCTGAGGTTGGGAGTTCGAGACCAGTCTGACAAACATGGAGAAACCCCGTCTCTACTAAAAATACAAAATTAGCTGGGCATGGTGGCGCATGCCTGTAATCCCAGCTACTCGGGAGGCTGAGGCAGGAAAATCACTTGAAAGCGGGAGGTGGAGGTTCCGGTGAGCTGAGATTGCGCCATTGCACTCCAGCCTGGGCAACAGGAGTGAAACTCAGTCTCAAAAAAAGAAAAAGGGGATGTGTAATTGCTGTTTTCTTCCCTCTTTGTATGTATGTGGGGGGAATGAGGGCTGAGTTCACACTTAATTTAGTAGAAGTGAGAATCTTAACTCCTGATTAACCCCGATTCTTCTGTAACAGTGTTTCTGAATTTTTAACGGGAAATATGTTCTGCTTCAATTCATTGCTATCTCTAATTTCAGGATGGCAAGCTTACCAAGGAGGAGATCGTTGACAAGTATGACTTATTTGTTGGCAGCCAGGCCACAGATTTTGGGGAGGCCTTAGTACGGCATGATGAGTTCTGAGCTGCGGAGGAACCCTCATTTCCTCAAAAGTAATTTATTTTTACAGCTTCTGGTTTCACATGAAATTGTTTGCGCTACTGAGACTGTTATTACAAACTTTTTAAGACATGAAAAGGCGTAATGAAAACCATCCCGTCCCCATTCCTCCTCCTCTCTGAGGGACTGGAGGGAAGCCGTGCTTCTGAGGAACAACTCTTATTAGTACACTTGTGTTTGTAGATTTACACTTTGTATTATGTATAACATGGCGTGTTTATTTTTGTATTTGTTCTCTGGTTGGGAGTATGATATGAAGGATCAAGATCCTCAACTCACACATGTAGACAAACATTAGCTCTTTACTCTTTCTCAACCCCTTATATGATTTTAATAATTCTCACTTAACTAATTTTGTAAGCCTGAGATCAATAAGAAATGTGCAGAAGAGAGGAAAGGAAAAAAATATATACTCCACAATTTATATTTAGAGAGAGAACACTTAGTTTTGCCTATCAAAAAGTCCAACATTTCATAGGTAGTAGGGGCCACATACTACATTCAGTTGCTACACGTCCAGCAACTGAACCTGCCATTACCTGGGCAAGGAAAGATCCCTTTGCTCTAAGAAAGCTTGGCCCAAATTGATTTTATTCTTTTTCCCCTTGTAGTACTGACTGTTGGCTAATTTTGTCAAGCACAGCTGTAGTGGGAAGAGTTAGGGCCAGTGTCTTGAAAATCAATCAAGTAGTGAATGTGATCTCTTTACAGAGCTATAGATAGAAACAGCTGTAAAACTAAAGGAAAAATACAAGTGTTTTCAGGGCAAACATTTTTTTCTCGGTATGCATCTGTTGAAATGCTCACGACTTAATTATTTGCCTGTTGAAATCACTGTAAATGCCCCAATCCAGTTCCTCTTCTTCCCGGGTGTGCCAAGGAATTAATCTTGGTTTCACCACAATTAAAATTCACTCCTTTCCAATCATGTCATTGAAAGTGCCTTTAACGAAAGAAATGGTCACTGAATGGGAATTCTCTTAAGAAGCCCTAAGATTAAAAAAAGACTATTTGGATAACTTATAGGAAAGCCTAGAACCTCCCAATATAGTGGGGATTTTTTCTTCTTTCCTTTCTCTTTTGGACAATAGTTAAATTAGCAGTATTAGTTATGAATTTGGTTGCAGTGTTCTTATCTTGTGGGCTGATTTCCAAAAACCACATGCTGCTGAATTTACCAGGGATCCTCATACCTCACAATGCAAACCACTTACTACCAGGCCTCTTCCTGTGTCCGCTGGAGAGCTTGAGCTCACACTCAAAGATGAGAGGACCTACAGAGAGGGCTCTTTGGTTTGAGGACCATGGCTCACCCTTCCTGCCTTTGACCCATCATACCCCATTTCTTCCTCTGTCCCTCTCCCCGCTGCCAAAAAAAAAAAAAAAAAAAAGGAAAAGTTTATCATGAATCAACAGGTTTTCAGTCCTTATCAGAGAGAGAGATGCGGAAAGAGCTAAAGAAACCACCCTCTGTTCCCGACTCTACTTCACCCATATTTTATGCAACACAAACACTGTCCTTTTGGGTCCCTTTCTTACAGATGGACCTCTTGAGAAGAATCGTATTCCACGTTTTTAGCCCTCAGGTTACCAAGATAAATATATGTATATATAACCTTTATTATTGCTATATCTTTGTGGATAATACATTCAGGTGGTGCTGGGTGATTTATTATAATCTGAACCTAGGTATATCCTTTGGTCTTCCACAGTCATGTTGAGGTGGGCTCCCTGGTATGGTTAAAAAGCCAGGTATCATGCAACTTCACCCCAGCCTTTGTACTGAGCTCTTGATAATGGATATACTCTTTTCAGTTTAGCCCCAATATAGGGTAATGGAAATTTCCTGCCCTCTGGATTCCCCATTTTTACTGTTAAGAAGACCAGTGATAATTTAATAATCTACCAACTCTGGCTTAGTTAAGTGAGTGTGAACTGTGTGGCAAGAGAGCCTCACACCTCACTAGGTGCAGAGAGCCCAGACTTTATGTTAAAATCACGCACTTGAAAAGCAAACCTTAATCTGCTAAGACAGCAGGAGGCATTGTACGGTAATCTTGAATGATCCCTTTGGATTTTTTTTTTGGTTTAAATCAAGCCTGAGGCTGGTGAACAGTAGCTACACACCCATATTGTGTGTTCTGTGAATGCTAGCTCTCTTGAATTTGGATATTGGTTATTTTTTATAGAGTGTAAACCAAGTTTTATATTCTGCAATGCGAACAGGTACCTATCTGTTTCTAAATAAAACTGTTTACATTCATTATGGGGTATGTATGACCTTCATTTTCTAAGAAATAAAACTCTAGCTTAGGAGTATGGATGCTGTAAAATGTCAGAAAGGGAACTCTCCTTGAAGTTCTCCCAAACTCAGAGACAGCACTGCCTTCTCCTAAATGGTTATTCTTTTCTCCCTGTTTTCTGGTATTTTCTAGCATCCTTCTCACCAGAGCCATGACCTTTCTTTACTTCCATTAGGCTGTATAACTGCTGCTTGTTTTATAATTATCTGATACCAAACACAAGCGATTCTGAATGTACACACACGTTTATCTTGATTTTTATTTCAAAAAGGCTCTTTTTGGGGGGCCTGGAGGGAGAGTATAGAGCATAAGGTAAAACAATTTTATTTAACATTATGGTATTGTTTACAAATGGTACTAAGACATGCAAATTCATTTTGAGAACCTCAAGAGAATTAAACTATTAACTTTAGTAAACACACAGTTTAAGACAAATACAAAGGTTTAGCCAAATGCAATGGGGAGGAAGCACCTGGAATAATTTGTGCTTACTCAGGGGCTTGTGGACACGGCTGTTCCTGCCAAAGCTGTAGCAGTTATCCAGAAGTTCTTTCAAACATATTTGGGACCACTAAGGTTTTTTGTTTTGGGGGGGTTTTTTTCTTTATGTCTTTCCCATTTCTAAGGTGTTTTCTTAAGTTTGTTCTAATTCAGTATATATCATCTCAGAATGGATCCCCAGCAGGAAAAAAAAAAAAAAGTTACTAAAAAGGAAAGTATCCATACACTGAAAACTTAAAGCCATATTCCTTTTTAGTTGCCTTGTATGTAAAAATCAGTTCTCCAAGTGCTGTGAATGGTGCCACTTAGGAGTAGAAACTGATGATTGTTGAAATGGCCTTTGTGTGGTCTGAAATAGACCCAGTGGAAACAGTAGCTTTGTAGGCAAGAAGGCAATAGTAAGAAAATGAAAAATTGACTCCCCAAACTGCCATCACTCCTCTTACCATCTTTTTTGTGTTTTTAGTAGTTTGGTTTCTGACAGAGACAATAGAAACTTACTTAAAATTTAATTCTAGTTGTTGCAAACAGGCCAATATTGGGTCCTCAGTTGGGGCCAACTTGGCTAGACGAGACAGTAGAAACTTCTGTTTTCTGGGAGCTGCTTATGTCGGATTCGTCTGTCATGGCCTTCCCACACACCATCTTCATGATGTGAGCTTGGAACTGGAGAGAAAGGCACAATTGGAGATAGCCTTGGCAGACAAGGAAGTATGGGAAAAAAGACCTCATTCTGTGTATCACCAAAGCCTTGCACAATGCTTTGTACCAGAATGCCCTTACGTGGTTCTGAATCTATCTTTCCCGTCGTGAAAACTATCTAGATTCCAGTCTAGAACAACTCCAGGGTCTATGGTAATCCTAAATATTCTGGTCAAGTCTGAGACCTCACTGTTCGTAAATTCACAAACCATCCTGCTTCATAAAAGCACTGCCAACAGAGGCCCCTCCATTACTAGCAGGTGCTCCCAGCTGGAAAGGACTGCCAATTCTGTTCTATCCAGGGAGGTTTCAAATTATTTTTGAGTCTACCTCTGGGATTGAGGAAACAATACCATCTGAAAGTAGGGTTTTTGCCACTTAGGGTTTGGTGTTTATTAGCTCAGATTTCAGGATAGGGGATAGGCAATTCCCCAGTACCTTCAGATGATAAGATATTTTAGAGATTTATGCATGTGGTACGATTTCTGTGCTTCACACATGCTCATGCAGGCTAAAAGTTGGAAGGGAAATGATTAAGAACTTATTAAATGAAAGGACTGGAAATTCAGAGGAATCTTTTTTTTTTTTTTTAAGTTCCAGGATATATGTGCAGGATGTGCAGGTTTGTTACATAGGTAAACATGTGCCATAGTGGTTTGCTGCACGAGTTTTTCAATAAAGTGCTTTCGCTCATCCTGTTCTTTGGAGCAACTTCGTTTTCCTGACTCAAGTTCTTTTCCTCTGGGGTTCTATTTTCTCATCTTGATAACCATGCCTTCCTCCCTGTGCTTACCAAGGGCTTCCCAACCTCCTCAGGGGTTTTGTGGCTTCCCTCGTCTACTCCTAGAAACCTGAGTAGAGTCCAGGGTGCTCCGAGTTAAAAGTCAAGAAGAACCAGGGTCTTCTGGACCACAGGAATGTGAACAGAGAGCTTTACCTGCTTATTCATGAAGCAGTAGATGATGGGATTGTAGATGCAAGCACTCTTGGAGAAGAATGCAGGAATGGTGACAAGCCGTAAGTCCAGCCCATGGTTACGGTTGTTGACCATGTACATGGCGAAGGCTGCATAGGGCACGTAGCAGACACAGAAGGATCCTACCATCACAACCACCATGCGGCTCACCTCCCGTTCAGCCTTCTGGGTCGTAGCTGACTCCTGCTGCTGAGCTGCAACCTGGGGTGAAGACAGAGAGCATCACATCCCTCTTTTTCCTGGCCCTCTGGATGCTTTTTTTTTTTTTTTAATTTTTTTAATTTTTAATTTTTTATTATTATTATTTTTTTTTTTGAGACTGGAGTCTCGCTCTGTTGCCCAGGCTGGAGTTGCAGTGGTACGATCTCAGCTCACTGAACCTCCACCTCCCGGGTTCAAGTGATTCTTTTGTCTGAGCCTCCTGAGTAGCTGGGGTTAAAAGCACATGCCACTCACCCAGCTAATTTTTGCATTTTAGCGTTTTACGATGTAGGCCAGGCTGGTCTGGAACTACTGACCTCAGGTGACCCGCCTGCCTCGGCCTCCCAAAGTGCTGGGATGATAGGTGTTAATCACTGTGCCCGGCCTCTGGATACTTTTCTATGGGATGGGGGAGGGGACATCCACTCTGAATGCCTCTTTTCTGCCCCATCTCCTGGCCTAGTTCCTTTGGATCTCCATCATTCTCCCTCCTCCCACTTCCTTTGCTGCTTTTAGATCCCTCTCTGGCTATGGACATTTCTAGGCATCTTATGTTCCAGAGCACTCTTCCTTCTCATGTGGAGCCCCAAACCCATTCCTCCCTGACTATCAAATGCCACTCACAGCTTTCAGGGCCCTCAGCAGCTGAGTGTAGGAGAAGCAGATGAGGGAGAGAGGCACAATGAAGCAGAAGATGAAGAGGAACCACGTATAGGACTCGCTGCGGTATTTGGTGCCCACGGTGTACCAGTCAGGGCCACAGGAGCACTGCAAGCCCTCAGGGATGAACCTGCAAAGGACCAAACACTTGCTCACTGGACTCTCCACAAGAGTTAGTGCAGTGGGAGCTGAGATGCCTGGATTGTGTTCTCCACTTAGAACCCAGAGACTGCCCAAAGGCTTCAAGCAGGGGGGTTTTCTGTCCTGACTGGGAGAAGCTACAGCAATTCCAACTGCAGAGTAAACGCTAGCACTCGTCTCCCACTGCCCTTTCACCTCATACTACAACTCTTTAAAAAGTAGAGGTCAAAGATTAAATAGTTATACCCAAGCTCTCTTTCCACCCACATCAACCTGAGCTAATTAAGTCAGCATCGCTGCCCTGCACTCTCACCGGCTCCAGCCAAAGAAGGGTGGGATGGAGACGCCAATACCAATGGTCCAGGTAGCCAGGACCACCGTCAGTGCATGCTTGGAGCTGAAGCGGAAGTTGCCGAAGGGCTTACAGATGACAATGTAGCGCTCAAAGGCCAGGAAGGCCAGTGACCAGCCTGTCACCAGACCTGTGGTGAAATGTGAGGATAATGGGGTAGACAGGGCCCCACCCAGCCTGGCTGGCAGAGTGGCAGACAGATTGGGTGGAGCAAGCACAGAGAGACAGGACTGGACTGACATTTGGAGTGAAGACACAAACATCCTATTTGGGCCAAACTTGTAGTCTGGGTTGCTTTGTACCCCAGTATTTTAAAAAGCACCAGACTCATTTCCCCCAGACTCCTCTTTAAGGACCCCCTCCAGTGGAGTAGCAACCTTTGCCTTCCCGTAACCCCTTTTCCCCTGCAGTACCTGCTACAGTGCCCAGGAAGGCCTCGAAAGCACAAACATGGCGACCAAAGACGAAGTATCCTTTACAGCTGTTGACAAAGACAGGGAAGACAGAGAAGATGCAGAGGAGGAAGCCTCCAAAGGACACGTTGACCAGAATGTAATTGAGGGGCTGCCGCAACTTTTTGTAGCGCACTGTGGCCACCAGCACCATGGCATTGAGTGGAAACCCTGCAAGGAAGACAGTGCCCATGAAAGCTGCCTGGAGGTAGAAGGCCCAGACAGGGGCAATGTGGTACTGAGGCCCATCCCATGGCTTCACTGAAGAGATATTTTTGAACAGAAAAAACTCCTCTTCCTCTGACATCTTTCTCATGGATGCCCCACACCCCCCTCTGAGTCCTCTTATAGGTGATCCTCCCACCCCAGAAAACCCCTCCTCTGAAAACAGTTGGGCTCTGTGAATGATCAATACTAATCCTAAACCTCCCAAGGACAAAGTTTGGGATTAGAAATCGCTAAACCACTACCTAAACCTTTTGTGGCCCCAAAGCTGATTGTGTTCTTCAGAGGATAAAAGATTGGGCTCAAGTAATCTGGATATGCAATGCTGGGTGCTGGAATGAATAGAAGTGAACTCCCTGAGATCTGGGAGGTGCTGACCCATATTCACTGAAGATGCTTCCACCTTTTTGCTGCTCTTTTAATGGGGCTATAGAAAGGGCACGCCTTTTGTTTTGGCTTCTGGCACAACTGTATCGGTTAAGTTTTCCTCACCTCATCTGCCCCTTTGTGGAAGGTGCCCATTTTAATTCCCCTGAGAGGCTGGGAACCAGCCTCGGGCTGGAGGAAAGGGCTGGGAGTGGGGAGTGCCCTAGAAGCACATCAGTAAACAGCCTTGATGGAACAGGACTTAGGCAACTTGACAATGCCTAGAGGTCTAGGGCATCCCTGAGCCAGGCTGCCTCCATTTCTTTGTGTTGAATCTACTCAAAGAGTGTGCCTTTCCTACTCAGACCTCCAGACAGGGAGGCGGGTCTGTTCACTGTCCTCATGCCATGTTCATGCCCACCCCTACCCTCAGCTCAACAAGTCACCACAGTCTTCCTCCTGTCTGTTCACTGAAGTCTTACCTAGCCCTCACAGCCTACCTCACAAAGACCTCTTCTGTGCAGCCCACCCCAGTGACAAGTTCCACCTGCACTTGTACTCGGTACTACACTTTAGGCTTTATGAATGAATCTTTTCCACCTCAGCAGATCATAAATATATAGATGAGTTAAATGTGACACGCTTTAGGTATAAATAAGTTAAAAAGTAAAAGGATGGTCCAGTAATGGCAGAAAGGTTTATTAGATGAATGCACCCTTAGGCATCGTAAACTGGACACAATATGAAAACAACTTTTTGAAAACACCTAAAGTATCCAAAGCAGGCAGAAACTGAAAGGAACTCAACTCTTCAATGAAAAGAAACGTCTACATTGGTTTTGGGGTTTTTTTGTTTTTGTTTTTGTTTTCCCTAAGTGTACTCCTGAGTAAAAATGGCACAGGATAGCTAGAACTTGAGCAGAAAGCCCCAGCCTTTTTTGACTTGAAGAGTCAGAGGACAGAAGACAGTTTGGGGCTCCAGAACACCTGAAGGTAGATTTCCTGGAATGAAGGAAGCCACAGAAGGCGAAGTCTTTAAATCTGCATATAAATTCCCCTCAAATCACAGGCTGACTGCTAAACTGGATGGAGGAATTTCCAAGAGCCCAGTAAAAGACAACCACTGGAGGTCTGAAAGAGCTACACAGATTTTGACTGTAGAGTTTGAATTTGAATCCCAAGTCAGAGGGTCTGGGTAAACACTTAGGGCTTTCCACTTAAAACTCCCAAAAGGCACACCATAGAGCTAAAATCTATATTCCAGGACTAAATATTTGTTCTGAGAGTAAGGGCAAAGCCAAAGCTAACTCACACTAGCAAAAGATAAAACCAAGCCTCAGCAGGTTCAAGGTGATCAACTAGTAAGTTAACTGCTTATTAGAACAAAAATCAACACTCCTCAATGGAAGATAATCCAGTCTCTAAAGTTCACTATCTACAATGTCTAATATACAATGCAAAATTATAAGGCATGTGAAAGAAAAAAAACCCAGAGGAAAATATGACTCATAGCCAGAAGAAAAAGCAGTCAGTAGAAGCAGAACCTGAGATGACCCAAGAAGTTGGCACCAGCCGAAAAATCTTTAAACAGTGATATAAATATATTCAAGAACTGAAAGGAAAAAGATGATCATCGTGAGTTAATGGATCTCAACAGAAGAATGGGAAAAATAAAAATCACCAAATGGAAATTCCAGAACTGAAAACTACAACATGTCCAATGAAGAATTCACTGGATGGCTGAACAGCAGATTGGACAGCAGAAGAAGGGATCAGTGAATTTACAGATAGATCAATAACAAAAAGATATCTGGAATATTCCCAAACGCTTATGAATAAGCAATATACATCTAAATACCTTGTGAGTCAAAAGAGAAATCATAAGGAAAATTTGAAAGAATTTGAGCTGAATAACAATAAAAAAAGTATTGGAAATTGAAGGAGGCAGCTAAAGCAGTACTTAGAGAAAAATTTATAGCTTTAAGTATTTATACTGGAAAATAAATGTTTAAAATTTAAACTTTCGCCTTGAGAAGCTGAAAGAGTGAATCAAATCTAAAATAAATAGGGGGAGATACTAAAAAGCAGAGCATAAAACAATGAAATTTAAAATGAATAAAGAATGGAGAAAAATCAATGAAACCTGACACAAAACAACATAGTTCTCTCCTGTCTCCAGCATCTCCTCAGTAGGATCTGAGCCAATAGTTATGGATTTTCCAACCCCCTCATGATAGGAACTTGCTCAGTATCATCATTTTGAAGATTCCCAGATAGCACAAGAGAGGTAAACTGAGTTAGGAAAATACCCAGACTGATTTTCCTCTGCTGTCACACCACAGCAATCAGCAACACAGAAGACTTCTGTGACCACATGTGTGGGGATTTCTCACCAACAAGCAAACAATCAGTTCTGCAGCAGACACCAGCTGGGTGTCCTCTAATTTAGTTCTATTCTGGCACTACCTGGAGATAGCATCAGATCTTGTAGGTTGAGGGCTCAGTCCCCAAGATTGCCATTGCTCGGCCACCCACCCCTCCCCGCAACTGCACCTCCCACCTCTCACCTTCAGCTTCCAATCACAAGCTCCTGGGTTTTGTTACCTGTGCTTCCAACCGAATGACTACAAATAGGGGATCTCACAACGCCCTCCGTGGGTTCAATTAATTTGCTAAAGCAGCTCACAGAACTCAGGGAAACACTTAACACCAGTTTATTCTAACAGGTATTATAAAGGATACAGATGAAGAGATGCATAAGGAGAGGCATGCATGTGGGAAGGAGCATGAAGATTCCATGCCCTCTCCAGGTGCCACCCTCCAGGAACTTCCATGTGTTCAGCTATCCAGAAGCTCCTTGAACCTTGTTCTTTTTGGGGGTTTTATGGAGGCTTCATTTTTTTTTTTCTTTTTTTTTTTTGAGACGGAGTTATGGGGGGAACAGGGTGGGAGGGCACTGTCTGGGAAGATGTGAGGACAGTATTAGGAGGGGCCAAAGATGTGGCCACCTAGCCTTGTACACTGGGTGTAAAAGGGTCCAGGGTATCTTGCACCCTTGCCATTTAGCCTCCCATCAGAAATGTTTGCAGAGGTGGGCACCTCAGCAGAGCCAGGATGAGCAGAGCTGCTCATCCCTTACCCTGGGCAGGACTTCAGGACCAGGGGCCAGAGGTCACCTTAAGGTGCCTATCCCTGAGCAGGGCACATGGATTGTGTGTGAGCCTGGCCTCCACTGTCTGCTGGGCTCTGCTGAGGTACCCACCTCTGCAAACGTTTCTGATGGGAGGCTAAATGGCGAGGGTCCAAGACACCCCGGGCCCTTTTACATCCAGTGTACAAGGCTAGGTGGCCACGTCTTTGGCCCTGCCTAATACTGTCCTCACACCTTCCTAGACAGTGCCTCCCACCCTGTTCCCCCAACAGCAGGGGGAGACAATGGGCCCAAGCTGGAGGCAACCCAATCCCCAAGGAGCTCAGACCAAAAAGAGCCTCACCCAAGCACAAAGTCTTACCGGTACTCAAGCCACGGACAAAAATTCTCCCAAGTCATGGAAGCTATGGAGTAGAAGGAGGCAAGCTTCTGAGGAAGGGGCATGGGGTAAAGGAGGAAGAGAAAATATAAAAACTGGAGGCAGGCTGGGCACGGTGGCTCACGCCTGTAATCCCAGCACTTTGGGACGCCAAGGTGGGCAGATCACTTGAGGTCAGGAGTTCACCAACCTGGCCAACATGGTGAAACCCCGTCTTTACCAAAAAATACAAAAATTTGCTGCGCAAGGTGGCACGCTGCTGCATAGTCCCAGCTACTTGGGAGGCTGAGGTAGGAGAATTGCTCGAACCCAGGAGGCAGAGGTTGCAGTGAGCTGAGATCGCGCCACTGCCCTCCAGCCTGGGCAACAGAGCGAGACCGTGTTTCAAAACAAAACACCAAAATAAAATAAAAAATAAAAACTAGAGGTGTTTTAGGTGCATTTAGTATATACAGTGCTCTTCCCAGGCTGAAAATCACCTTATCAATTTAGAACATGTTAATACACTAAGGCTTTACAGAAGATCACGTGAAACACACTTAGACCAGGATTTCTCAACGTCGGCACTACTGACATCGCAGATAATTCTTTGTCGTGGGGGCTGTCCTGTGCATTGTAGGATGTTGAACAGCATCCCTCTCCTCTAGATGCCAAAATTAACACTGCCAACCCAGTCATGATAACCAAAAATGTCTCCCGACATTGCCAAATGACTCCTGAGAGACAAAACCCTTCCTTCCTCACTCCCTTCCCCTCCAGCTGAGATTCAACCATTGATTGAGATTTAGACTTACAAATGTTCAGAACCCAATATAATACAATCAAGTGAAAATTTGTTTTTCCATTTGTTCCGATTGTCCAGAAAAAAGGAGAGTCCTACCAAAGTGGATATTTTCTGAATAGTTTCAGGAGGTCTTTCTTTCTTTTTTTTTTTTTTTTTTTTTTTTTTTTTTTTTCTGAGATAGCGCCACTGCACTCCAGCCCGGGTGAACATGAGCGAAAACTCTGTCTCAGAAAAAAAAAAAAAAGAAAATAAGAAGGAAAGGGAAGAAAGAAGGGAAGAGAGGAGAAGAGAGAGGAAGGAAGGAAGAGAGAAGGAAGGGGAAGGAAAGAAGAAGAGAGGGAGGAGGAGGGAGGCGAGGAGAGAGAGAGGAGAGGAGGGAAAGAAAGAACAAAAGAAAGAAAAGAAGAAGACCGCCGGGCGCGGTGGCTCAAAGCCTGTAATCCAGCACTTTGGGAGGCGAGAACCATGGCGATCACAAAGGTCAAGGAGAATCGAGACCCTCCCTGGGCTTTTAACAGCGGAAACCCCCGTCTTCTACTAAAAAAAGAAAAATTACCGGCGAGGTGGCGGCGCCCTGTGGTCCAGGCTTAAAGTCGGGAGGCTGAGGCAGGAAGAATGGCGGTGAACCGGAGGCGGAAGCTGGCAGTGAGCTGAGATTGGCCAACTGCAACTCCAGCCTGGGCGCCAAGAGCGAGACTCTGCCTCC